GTAAAACATATTATGAGTATTTTTTTTTGTAGAATTGACTGGACTTTCTAACAAATTTCAACTGCTTGCATGTAAAGCATATACTTGACAGGTGTGTGTGACGAATAAATCGCTAAGAACAAGAAGTAACGAGAGAAAAATACCTAAATAATAAAAAGAGAAAAAAAACTGAAGGAAGGAAAAGGGAAAGCTTTTTTTTTTAAAATAAAAATAAAACGACAGGTCTTTTATAAAAAGACGGTATGAAGAAATATGTAACGGATGGATAGAGTTACTCTTATCGTTTAAGAAGTTTGTTTTTTTTAAATTTATCCATCGCGTCAAATTTCCATTTTTTTTCAAAGATAAGATTTAAGTGACAGAGAGATTGAGCAAGAACGAAAAGGATGAATAATTAAATCTTCAATTCGATATTACATTTTTTTTTGAACACAACTTATCTTTCATTTAATTTAAAATAAAACCTTGGTAAGATCTTTTATTTATTTATTTATTTATATATAATAACTGGCTAAATATTGTTACTAGTTGAAATAGGTTCTCCATACTTCTTCGTCTTCTTCTTCTTCTTCTCCTCTCTCTCGTCCTCTCTCATCGTCTCCGTTTCTCCCTAGAGTATGTCTACGTCTCCATTGCTAGTCTTAAAAAAATTATGACACGTACGCGCATACATAACGAAGAAACTGAGGGAAAAAGAGCGGCCAACCACCATCGTCCTATGTTCGCGCAATGATTTCCTTGCTTGCTTTCTCTCTCTCGCTGTTCTCCAAGGACAGTCGTCGAGGCACGCTTAAAGCTCATTCTGCGCATACTCACTAGTTGTGCTTGTCCTTCCTCTGTCTCTGTGTATATTTACACTCAAATATCGTGAAGAGTAAGTCATTTTACCGTTCTTGATGTGTTCATAGAAGCACTATAGTGTGTTTTTTTAATGCACAACGTTTCACAGTTTGCGTCATTACAGACGCAAAAAAAAATTCAATAGCAAAAAAAAAAGTATGCCTAATAGAAGCTAATTGTATTAATCCGTTAGATTATATATATAGATGTCATATTTTACGTAGTCTGTTTCTTTCTTCACATTGCAACTTGATGTTCACTATCAGTAATTGTCATCATTGTCCTTCGACCGTTATAGAAGGTGAAGGTCTCTTATACCTTCTTTTGTCACATCATAAACATGAAATAAATGATGCGTATTTTATAAATTGAAGTATAGAAAAAGATGTTCCGATAAGTTTATTTGTTATCATAATAATATAAATGATGACAACACTGAAGTTAGAACGTGCTTATTTATCAATAGATACTTGAAACAAACTAGAAGGGATACATTGTAATACTAATTGCATCATGATTAAGTTTTTTCGCCTCGATAATTGTCATTGAAAGAAAAGAAAAATTTGATTTCCGTTGGAATCATCAGGAGAAAAAAGAATCCAGCAACAAATCGTCCAATTTTCTTTCTGGTTCTGTCTTTCTTTAGTCTTCTCATCATTTGATTTCTATCTAGTAGTATGTAATGTTGATATGTACATATGTATATCTATATATAATGAATGCATCGGAGATCGATTGAACAAGAAAATGCTATTGTTATTAGATAAGCAAATGATGAGGTGAATAATTATTATAAAAGATAATATAGATGTTCTAGTAACCTCATTATCTATTATATATCGCAGACATTCTGTTCATCAAGTCCCTTGATGGACATGTCTCTATATAACTATATAAGATCAGCATAAAAAAAAAAAGAGGAATAGTCAAGTCTTTCATTGCAATAGTCAACATGTGTATGTATAGATCATATAAGTATTTCCTCGTAATTGAACTATGAATACCCTCACAATACCCTTGAGATAAGTCTGTATGTGAATATATAACTAGAATAAGAGAAAAAAAAGACACAAAAGTTATGATAAGAAGAGCTTTGGGCATTTTCTTTTGTATTACATTTTTATCATTAAGAATGAAAAAAAAGAAATATGTAAAAAAATAAACCAAGAAAAATTAATATTAGCAACTTTGTCTCATTCATTTTCGTTTTTTTTCTTCTTCTGTGGTTGTAGTTGGAAAGATGACGATTGTAAAGAATAACATTCCATAATCTACTTGTTCTTTTTCTCCATCGTCTTCTCTAATACGTCTATTTGCTTTGAAGCATCAAGATAAGAGACATCTGAGTTTGTTAAAAAAAAAAACTAGCAATGGGCAATAATCGCTCAAAGACATTGTATATTTATATGCAATGAATGGATCATCGCTCTCTATCATTAGTAGTAGATTTGATCGTACCATTGCGTCTGATAATACACGCATAGCAAAGGTCATTTTCTTTATTCTTATGCTTTTTATTTTTCATCATTCCTTTTGTTCTGACTTTCTCATTGATGATAAAACAATATAAAAGATAGATTCTATTCTTTCTCCAACAGAACTGATAAGCTAACATTGTTAATATGTTTATGTATACGAAATCTTGACACGTCTCATTTTTTTTTCAGATAAATAAAGGCTAAAAGTTTTAGAGTACGAGATTGCAGCTGACGCACATTTTTCTTCTATTTTATTATTATTCTCTTCTTTTTGTCTTTTTTTTCTGATGATTACAGCTTTGAGGACACTTACACTTATACACGTAGACAACAAGCACGCATTTTGAAGGTTTTCTTTTTTCTTTTTTTTTTTATCTAACCAGTTTTTGCTCCAATTACATTGCAGCAAACAAAGGTAATCATCATCATCAGCAGCTGAATTATTACATGTACACACATATATATATATATATATATATATATGTTGACGACAGGTGTCATGCACATTCGTTGTAGAAAACAATAAGACATGTTTCATGTAAAAAAGAAAAATGTAACAAAAAACGACATGTGTATTGATACAAAGAAAAACGACATTGGAAAATCGTTGTCCAGATGATTTAGCCTCGAGACGGCGAGACCACAAGGTTTTTCTATTGTACCTTTCGCTTAACAATGATATATATATACAAACGTGAAAATTAGTCAATGGTATATAGATAGACTGCCAAGCAGCTTAAATCAACTATCACTCAACAGTTAGATAGTTGCTATATGTAGGAAGATGATCTATCTTTTCATCACTGCTGTCTTATTGTAGCCACAAGAGACTGATATTCCTTTCTTAGTTTGTTTATTGCGGTTTGCACATTTTCTTTCGTTCTTCCTGTAGTGTCTATATATATATGGGTATGTGTATGTATGTATGTATGTATGTATGTATGCATCTTCTTTTCTCTTTCTTCACTTGTTGAAATGAGAAGGTTGTCTGGTGTCCAGACGAGAATATTGTAAGCAGTGGTAGGAAGAGAGAAGAAGCAATAGTCAGTCATAGACAAAAATGCTTCGTTAGTATTCGTTTTTTTTGACATATAACGTCGGAGAACAGTATAAAAAGTTGGGAAGAAAGAGAGAGAAAGAGAAAAAACTGTTCTCTTTCTACGATTCTCTCTTTTTTTTTCTGCGCTTGCTTATGTTGATATGTAACCACAGTAAACCACCACTATTACTACGAATACGATCGTAACCACCATCAACGAGAGAGAGAGAGAGAGAGAGCGAGAGAGCATCGACCCGGCGTCGGCGGCTATGTAGCAGCGACGACGGCAGCACCTACTTTTTTTTCTCATTCTCTTTTATGCATCTATTATGTAAAATACGCCTCTCCCCTATATTCACATATTCGTGTTAACAGTAAAAAGAGAGGAGAAGAGAAGAGAATTGAAGAAAGGGAAAGAGAATATCTACCAACTTTCCTCATTACTACTAACAGCAAAGTTTTTGTTTACAATAACCGACGACAACGACGAATCGGGAAGAGGAACAAATTTTTTTCCTTTTACTCCTTCTTCTGCTCCTTCTTCTTCTTTTTCCTCTTCTGCTCTCTCTATTTTTATTACTCTTCGCCTTTCAATTTTTAATTTTCTTTTCTTTACCTATTCCATCTACCTTCATCATCATCACCAACGGGCAGGGTGGACTATTTGAACATTTATTAGAAGGACAAGTACACCACTTGTATTTTCACTTTTTTAGCTGCTTACTTTTCTTGTTCTCTCTCTCTCTCTCCCCCTCTCTGTCTCTCTTTCTCTCGTTGTCTTCCCCTCTCTCTCATCATTTAATCACCCTGATCGACAATCTCTTCAAACACTGTACTTTACTAGATGTATGTTTTGTTTCTTAAACGTTACTCCTCCTTATATCGTGCCTTGAGCGTATGTTTCTTCTCACTGTGCCAATATCGTGTTGACTAAGAATAATAATCGAGTCGTAATCAATACGCCGAAATATGACTAATCTCGACGAGGCGAGAAATGAGCAATATAAGAAGGGACTGATTATTCATTGATGCTTCTCCAAGTGCTAGAGAAGAAAAAGCGATATAGAGCGAAAGCTACAGAGCAAGAGAGAGAGATGGATAGAGCGCTCGCGAGAGAGAGCAAGCAAGGAAGGGAGGGCAGGGAGAAAGCAGACAGAACACTGGCACGTATATACATAAATTTATTCTTATATTTTCCAGACGCATAAATCTCAAGATTATTACATCATCAGATATGTAGACACACATGTAGATGCTAAAACAATATGCATTTATTTTCAGATAGTTTCAATAACCTTTTCTCTTTTCTTTCCCCTCTCTTCTCAATGAATTATTCACCTAAACAAAAATAGTATGTTTTATTACTACTATTAGTAATTGTTTTCCAAATGATTCATTTTGTTTTATTGTTCTTTTTTTTTTATAGATTTGTTTATCAGTCGGTCTAAAGATCGACATTCATAGTCTATTCTACTAGTTCAATTTAGATATATATATAGTTGTGCAGATAGTATACTTGCTCTGTCACTTATAGTCAACATTTCTTCATTATAAGTAATGTAATTATCATATAATTTTATTTTTTGATTAATATTTTTCTCTTTATTAATATAGCCTTAAACACTAAAGAAATATAAAAAAAAATGTTGCGCACAGCGTTATTATGTCTAATATTAGTCGTATCATTATCATCATCAACATCAATTATTAAAAAAAGTCTTAAACGTCGACAAGCTGATTCTCAACATTGTGAAGCTATTACGGGTTTCGATTGTAAATGTAACTTTTATCGTGTAACATGTACAATTGATCATGAATTACCATCGCCCATACATATTGTAGACCATGAAAAACAGAAATATCAATCTGTTGAATTGGTTATACAAGCTCCACGTGATATTCATGTTAATGATCAAACATTTGAACCGGTTAAAGAATTATATAAATCTGATGGAGATAATTTAGAATTTCGTATTAAATTCGAAAAATTTACTGCACTTCATTTATCATCACCTTCAATCTTTAATCGGGTATTTCCTGATAGTTTACCAGCAAATGCACGAAAACATTTGGTAAGATTACAAAACATATAAGAAAGTAAAAAA